TGTCATTAGCACCTCTAGTAATATATTTACTGAGAAAAATGGTGACATGTTCAATACTTATTTTACCCGCTGTAAATAACTTAAGTAAACATTTTTTCCTCCAAAGTGAGGCTGGTAAAAAAGCTATTTGCAGCAGATCATGTTTTCTTACATAGTGTTTATAACTCTACCTCATTAGGTTTGCACTTAGGTCACACAAACATGAAAAGAACAGACCGAATATTTTGTCTGCAGAGATATCTGACCTAATAATAATAATAATCCCTTTTTGTTTATAAGTTCTSCCTGCAGATGGCCGATAGAACTATTGATGTTGCTCCAGCAGCCTGGGATGGGATGAATTATGTAACAGCCTCAGCGGGTAATGAAGGCGACTGCGCTGGGAGAAATAGTGTTTGCGCTGCCCGTCATGACAGCTGATAGCCTAACCTCTGTATTTACATATAAACCGAGCCCTGCATATCCTCCCATGTGTATGCAAGGTGCGTGACTAACTGCAGGGATCTGATGCGTTGATGTGTAGCGAGCAGCCTCAGCAGACAGGTTGTTCCAGAGCCCAAACAAAGCATAAAGAATCAGGAAATATGTTGCTGCTTGAAACGCAGTTGATGATCTAATTAGTTTAGTTTGCAGACTGACGGAAAGCTGGGTGAAACAATCTGGTGCAAGTCGAGCTTAAGTGGGATTTAATTAATGCCGAAGCTATGTGCACATGTAAAGCTTTATTTTTACTCTGCTCATTCAAGGGGGGATTGTTATGTCATTTTGTGTCGCTATTTGTCTTTTTTCGCATCGTCGGCGTGGCATTTGAAAGCCCACCTTTGTTTGGTTGATGTGAGGCAAAGGTGAGCAATGCCAACATAATGAATGTTTTTTTATGGCATTACGGCACGACCTTTGTGTGGAAARAGAGCTCGAGCTGCTCTGCTGGCAGAGATATTGAATGGCAGGTAATTGGTTTATGCTGCTAAAAACAGCCTTTATTTGTAATAGATTGTCTATTTAAAAAGGTGGAGTGAATGGAGGCGTATTCGATGCTTGTGGGTGTCCTAATTTTAGCAGCATAAAAAGATATTCCAAGTTTTCCACTCAGTTTCTTCCAGTCTGTCCTTTTTTTTTTCCACCCTTCCGTCTCTGTCCTTGTACGTCTCGCCCACCACCTGATTTGCTTTTCAAAGGGGAAGGCAAAGCATCTGCCTGTTACGAGGAGACCAGGGTACTCTGCAGAGCTGTGTTAAGTAATAACAAGCAGTGACGTCAAAGGTTTTCCATTCGAGCTAGAAAGAGGAAGGGAGGGAGGGCAGAGAGGCAGAAAAAAAAAAAGAAAGGGAGGAGGCGAGGCCGACATGGAAGTGCTTCAGTGTCAGAGAAATCTTGTGCTTGAGTTTCAGCTGCTTAGATTCACCTGTGACTGCTGTAAGACAGCACAAAAAAACACAAAATTAACAATTGAAAAACAAAAATATAGTATCCTCACTTTAAAGGTAACACATTTTAGTGCAATGCATCCCCCAACATGAATTACACAGAAGGGAAAGTGGATTATTATCTCGTCACCCATCTGTTTGTGGAACATTACTCCAAAAATGTCCCATCTCATGACCTTTAATGTTTATGTCACAGAGGGGAATGAGGACAACATCTGTTCATATGAAGTCAAGGTRGGATCAAATTTGTTAGGGATACAGATATAGATTGAGGTCTTGCACCAAATGTCACTTATGTAACACAGTCATTGTTTTTTTTTCTTTTTAAGGTGACTTTCATTTGTCTGAAAATTTTTTCTATCTGAAAAGCTCAAACCTTAAAAAAAAAAGCCCGCAGGGTTTATGTTGCACAAGTTAAAAAACTTAAAGCGATAGGTTCACTGATTTGAACTGCAGTTCAAACAAGAAACAATGAACTTATCGTAACAACATTCATYGCATTGATTGCTAATTAGCTAACARCTAGCTCCAAGCAAGACCAAGCCCAGAGAGGGTTTCCTGTCATCTTAAATCAACTCTAATAATCCTTTACAACCTCGTCAGTTTGGCTAGACATGCATTTAGCAGCAGCTAGCTGTAGCACTACTGCAGCCTGTTGCAGACATGGCATCATACTTTAGTCTCACGGTTCAATATTTTTTCGATACAAAAAATAGAAATTTCTATGGCCTTCATAATTTGTAATTTGTTTAAATTAATCATGAACATTTGTTTAACCTCAAAAGTACAGTTTTTAAATTAAATGTTGCTGAAACATTGAGTTTCTTGGTGGATCTGTGCTCGACAATGCAGCCTACAAGGAGTAGTCAAACAGATCTACTGAGCCTTCAACACAGCACAGCTTCAGGAGAAAAGCTGATAAAATAAATTTTATAAATCTGTATTGTTCGATACAAGTGTGTATTGAACCTAAAGCACTGTATTGAACAGTTCGATACGGGTACATGTATTGTTGCACCCCTATTATATAAGTAAGTAAGTAAGTAAAGTTTTCTTTATAAAGCGCCTTTCACAGAAATATATTCACAAGGTGCTGTACAATCATTAACAGTATAGGAACGGTGGAAAGAATAAAATGAAACAGAAAAACACAATTACATATAAGCAACGACAATTGAAACATCAAATCAAGAATTAATTTCTAAAATTGTAAATCAAACACAAGGTCAATGCAGGTCAAAATATACAATAATACACAAAAACACAGTGAATGCAGGAGAGAAAATATGGCGTAAGTTCAATAATAAAGAAAACACAGATTTTCAAGCATTCACAATGGAGGTAGGCTGGCAGTAATGGTGAAATGGTTAGCTAATATATTTATATATGTGTGTGTCTGTGTGTGTGTGTGTGTGTTGTTTCTTAAGGTTAAATGAATGAAAACATAAATTGTCCAAGTTTTCTCCAATTTGAAGTCATTCGAGTAGTTATCTACAACAGGTGTGTTATTTTTTGTTTGTAACTTTTCCCACAGAACTTTCTGAACTTTCCCTCTAACCCAAGGCCTTATTTTTAAAGGCCAGATATAAAAAAGCAAGAATATTTGACATAATTCCCTCCCAACGTGGAGCACAGCCTTGGTCTGGAGTTGTGAAATCAGAGAACGGCAGCGTGCTTTACCTTTCTTTAGCAGCAGACATGTTAGCAGTGGCAGGGAGTGGTGGAATACTTAGCCTCTAATGATTAGCGGATTACACCTTAAGACAATATAGCAACCTAACACGCCTCATAATGGCTTCTGACCTTCCTGTTTGTTGCCACAGCAAGCACAAGAGCACACATAACATGCACTCTGCTAACAGAGCGCTGTGTGTTGAACAGTGTTTAGATACCAAAGAATGAGAAGCAGCTTCCAGAGAATGTGTTTATGTCAACGATTAACGTCCGACTCCCAGAGCATACACGGCAATGTCAAACATTATCACGTCTTCTCAGCTATACTCATTTATTTGGTTGGTCCTGCTTACAACAAACATTCTTGGTAAGAAAACAATACATAAAATGCCTGAAGATTATCTAAAATGTCTACCAAAACAAACCATCTCTTATTTCCACTACAGTCCCAGCTGCTGAGTAAACAAAAGTAAAACTAGAAACAGATTAGTTTTGAAGACAACAACTAAAAAAAAACCAGCTGGTTCGCATATTATTACTGTGGCTTTCCTGTTTTCCTTTTCATCTCCACTTTTTGTTCATTAATGTAAACATGATAAACTTTTACTTTAAAATTAAATTGCTGAAGCGTGTACAGTGGTCCTCTGCACACTCTTCTCGCGTACACACACGTCTATTTGTGTGAGTGCCCTTTAATTGGGCAACAGGGTGCGTTTAGCCAAGCAATGACGTCAGCAGCCTACATCAGCACCTTGGATACGGCAACACCATTCACCGGAGGGCTCCTGCCCCGTTTTGGACCAATCAGCGCTCGTGTTTTCTACATACCACTCATCACCACCTACACTGATGTATTGTTCCGCTGTAGGGAATCTCATCTAAGGCAAAACACATACATGCGCCATAACAACGAGTTTCTCAAGGTAGACTGCAAACATACATTGTTTTCAATATAGTGATAACCCCTTTTAAGGTTTTGGTGTCTGGGATAAATTAAAAGAGTCGTTTCATAGTCGTTTCAAAATATATCAGCAGCACCTTGTCATTATTATCAACTATAAACCACTTGATTAATGATTTCTACTTGTCTGTCAGCTCCCTCACGACTGCTTCACGTTTATGTTTCGAGACAGGAGGATATATTTGTCTTCTAATCGTTTATTTTTGCATTTCCCTGTCAGCACGGACCTAGGTTGGCTGTGACGCAAACCGTCATCACAAGCGTCTCTCCCACTGCTCAGAATCATGTGTCAGACTGACAGCGCGGCTCCGCCAATGAGCGCACGACTCTGACAAGCACTAGTGGGTGGGACTCATCCTGTGGACCAATCATAGCCAAAGGAATTGTTTTGACCTCTGAAACCGCATCACCGCCTGCCTCGTGCCCATGGCGGAGGAAATCTATAAATACGGAGAGCCGTAAACCAGAAGTCGACGAAGTTGCGAAACTCCCAAGTAGGAGGGAGCTACTCTAAGCCTGCTGAACGAGGGGAAAAAAAATAAAATAAAAATAAAAAAAACATAGAAACCGCTAAATAACCCTAAAAACAGAAACCGGAGCAAATCTTCAAACGCCAATCCTCTGAAATCTACTTGTACTGGAATATTGTTTTTTGTAACGTCGCTAATATATCTATGTGAAGAAAGTATTTATGCTTTTTTTTTCTATTTGCACTATCCAACGGTACTTCAAAACTACTGAGAATTTTTTTTTACAATAAGTAAGTATTTTCAGCTTGTTTACTTACAATATCAATGTCTACGTGTGTAGCTGTATGGCTTTATTTGTACTTTTTAAGCTGATTGGAAACGTCAGTTGCCGAAGTTAGGGAGGGGTGTAGGCTATGTTCTGGGAGGGGTGTAGGCTATGTTCTGGCGATGAAAGTGTTCAGGATATTGTGTCTCAGGAAACTGAATAACTAGATAGACACAAAGCTATTGCATTTTTAATGGCTAATTTTCTGTTCCCTGTTGTATTTGACGTTTTCAAGAGTCTTTACAGACTTATTTTCGCATTTGCAACACCATTAACTTGATAAAACCAAATAATACCAGGGTGGTAAGGGTCTTTCCTCTTCCTTCCTTAAAACTGCTAAACCTGCGTTTAGACGTGGTTTTAARTCTTTATTTCGACAGTGTTTTCAGTGCAGACAGCTCTGTGACTAATCGGCGCTTTCTGCACAGAAAATAAACCCGTGACTGGGCTGTAAGCTCTGAAATCCACCCTGATCGTTTCCTCATCAACTTATCCATCATCAGGAATTATTTCAAAGCATTAACTTTGTTGGGTTTGCTGTTGATTAAAACGCAGGATCCCTGCGGTACTTTCTCTCTCGGTCTCTTTCTCTCTGCCTTATGGTGGCTCTTCAGAAGCCTGTTATGTAAGAGGATTCCCTGTTCTGGTGTGAGGATAATGTGCTCTGGTAGCTACTTTTTGACATTTGTCTCATCAACGAAAACAAAAGCGTGATTCTAAGTTGGTTCATTTTTATTACTTTTTGTCTCCACCGACCGTACGATTAACAGATTTGCTGTTAAAATATAAATAAAAAACTGGATCCTCTTAAGTTTAGTTTAATTTTACTTACAATTTCTCCGTGTTTTGTCTGATTTTTTTGTTGCAGGAAATATATATCACCCTGTGGAAGGACACCACTTTTACAAAACCAGCACTCTTGATTTTGAAGCCGTTTCATCCGAGTCCAGTTTGCTTTTTGACACCCTGCCTGGAGCACGCCTGCGTTGCCAAACACGGATAAACAAAGCAGACTCGGTGGACGCGTTCAAGGTCAGACACAGCTAATCTCCACACACCTGGAACACTTCAGCAGTTCGCTATGCAGCTTGAAATCCAAGTAGCTCTCAACTTCATCATCTCGTACCTGTACAACAAGCTGCCAAGGCGACGGGTCAACATATTCGGCGAGGAGCTGGAGCGGCAGCTGAAGCAGAAATATGAAGGACACTGGTACCCGGACAAGCCATACAAGGGCTCAGGATTCAGATGCATCCATGTGGGCGAGAAGGTGGACCCTGTGGTGGAGAAAGCAGCCAAAGAGAGTGGGCTGGAGATCGAGGACGTTCGCAATAACCTGCCCCAGGACCTCAGCGTGTGGATTGACCCCTATGAAGTGTCTTACCAGATCGGTGAGAAGGGGCCAGTCAAAGTGTTGTATGTCGACGACAGCAACGAAAGTGGAGCCATGAACGGAGGGCTGGATTTGGACAAAGAGATCAAGAACAGTTTCAACCCCGATGCGCAGGTCTTCATGCCCATCAACGAGCCTGCGAACAGCGCCTCTCCGGGCTCCAGCTCTCCCTCTCCTCCTTTCGGCCACTCTGCGGCGGTCAGTCCCACCTTCATGCCCCGCTCCACTCAGCCTTTAACCTTCACGACGGCCACCTTCGCTGCTACCAAGTTTGGCTCCACTAAGATGAAGAGCAGTGGGCGCAACAACAACAGCAACAATGGCGGCGGCAGCGGCGGGAGCAGCGCCGGCAACAAAGTGGCACGTACCTCTCCCACCAACTTGGGCCTGAATGTGAACAGTCTCCTCAAACAGAAAGCCATCTCCACCTCCATGCACTCGCTGTACGGGCTGGGGCTCGGYGTGCAGCCGCAACACCAGAAACCCTCGGCCCTGTCCCCCAACGCCAAGGAGTTTGTGTTCCCCAGCCTGCAGGGCCAAGGCAGCCAGAGCGCCCTGTTTCCCGGGGACAGCTCGCTCAGCCTCAGCCCGCTGCAGTACAGCAATGCCTTCGACRTGTTTGCGGCCTACGGTGGCCTTAACGACAAGTCCCTCATTGATGGCTTGAATTTCAGCTTAAGCAACATGCAGTATTCTAACCAGCAATTCCAGCCAGTTATGGCCAACTAGTACACGTAAAGGTACTACTTAAGCTCCTACTTCGTACAGAAACGACCAGAAATAATGTGATGGTGGAAACAAATGCACATTTCAAAAACAAAACGACAAAAAAAAGTGTAAACAAAAACAGAATGTCAAAGATAAAAGGAAAAAAGTGACTTGTAAACGTGTAAGATCCAAGTTTCAAGTCTAAGAGCATGAGCCCGAGGGTGAATAATGTTGCCCCCTTGAGTTATACTTGTTTTTTTTTCTGTTTTTGTTTATTTTTTCTTTCTTTCTTTCTTAAACAATGAAGCTTGTAGTACAAGATGTCCAAGCTTGGTTACCTAAACTTCAAAATGCATTATTGTTGTTTCTTTTGCCAACCAAGCACAAAATATTTTTTAACGCAACTGTTTTAAGATAAAAAAAAAAATGAATAAAAAAACAAACAAAAAAAATAACACCACCACAAGTTATGGCCTCTTTCAGTA